ATATATATATATATATATATATATATATATATATATATATATATATATATATATATATATATATATATATATACACACACATGCACAATGCAGAAATGTTTGTCAGATACTTTAATACAATGCAGTAAACATTGCAATGTAAATTGTATTGTATAAAAACTGCCAAATGCACAAATGTAAATATAACATAGCTGGTGTTATATAATATTTACAATGTTGTCATTCAGATGTTTGAGCAAACAATGAGGCGCCATAGCACCCCTACCATGCTCAGGACAGAGACAGTTGGTTCTGTGCAGAACTGATTAGGCAGAGTTTTACATTGTGTGTGCTGGCAGGACTGCTGGCCTGAGGCCCAATAAAGCTCTGGAAAATCCACGCTTGGAGGCAGGAGGTGATAGTGGGGTGGGGGCAACACTGAGCCTCTTCTCTGGGCAATCACGATGACTAGTGAAAGAATACTGCTTGGCTTGTGTTTTTTGCTCTTTCATTTGGGATGAACCAAAATGCTGGCAGCAACAGTTTCTGTTGCCTTCTTTGATTAAAATTTTTATGGTGCAGTTGGGCCGTTGTCTCAAATGATAGGAGATTTTATATGCAAATAGTACTACAGCATAAGAGGTCCTTTGCAAAACAGCAGCATGATAACTAGTCTGAAAGGTAAACCATGGGAAACTCACTTTTACTTTTTTAGTCAAGAATTTTAGGTGTGAATTATCTATTAACTGTTAAGTATTAAGTATTAACTGTTTCTATACTAATTCTAGGCAAAAAAAAACACTCTCAGATAATAACAATATCGAATTGCAAGTCCTTTCAGTAATAATCTTATCAGTAATCATACTTCACTTTAAATAAGGTGAAGCACCTCCTAAATAAACAAAGTATCAAATATCTGTCATCAACATTCTCCAGTTTCATTAACCGACCATGCCAGACGCATTTGCTTTGGAAGCAGGTGTTTCTAGTTGAGTTACAAGTCACGGTAGCTCTGCAAGGCCGGCTCAGAGTAACCAACTTTGTGTACATCCATTGTGGGCAGGATTACTCCATGCCGCTGCCTGCTCATGTGTCCGTAAACCGCCTTTTGTCGCACAGGAGAGACAGCTTAAAATCGCTTGCGTGAGGATTTTTCTATTACCTCTAGCACAGACTGCTGACACCAACACAACCCTCTCCGACCTCCCATACTGCCACTGTCTTAAACAAAACGCTTGCTCAGGGAACTCAACCCCATAAATTATTCCAGGAATACAGATCAACTGTTGATCAAAACATACAGTCCTTCCAGATACTATTCATCCATCATGATGACTACACCTGCTATATTAAGGAGCACCTGGTTTATATATATATATATATATATATATATATATATATATATATATATATATATATATAAAACATACACACACACAGA